ACCAAAAAACAACAACAACACCTCAGCTTCATTATCTCATTCAAACATTATCTACTATATTTTCAATTCAATGATAACAAAAACAAACAGATGCAAATTCCTCTTAATCCGACTCTCTGCATTTTTCACCTTTCCTTGATTCCGTTTCCGCTCAGAATGAAAAGAACAAACAACATTATCAGCCTGATTTTCTAGTGTGCTCTCTTTCATATAACAACAACGATCAAACTCACGGTGTTTCGATTAAATTCAGATTTTATACAACAAAAACGAATCTCTCTACTCTATTTCTAATCAACAACAACAAATATGTGGATCTGTTTCAAATCACGATAAAGAAAAAACACACAAACAACAATAATCACAACAACAACAACAACAAAAGAATGACAACAACAATCAACATAATTTAAGCAACAATGATATCATAGTAATCTTGAGGAAAAAAATAGAGTTCTTACATGCTCAGAGTTGGTCTGAGAATTTTGATTCCGGCGATAGTAAGAAAGAAAACCAGAGGTGAGATAATACTTCTAACTCCTCCTCTTTGATTCTGAATTTCTAGAAAATAGTTGTTGTGATTGTTGTCTGAAATGTGCAGATTGTGATGAAGTCGCTTCTGAATGGGGGAAGTCTTGATAATTGGACATCACTTTAACCCTTATTTTTTATTTTAATTTTTAATTTCATTACCAAAATTAAAAAATAAATAAAACATACAATTATCAATTATAATTTCCATCTGGCACATGACACATGTGTAATGGATCTGCCACATCATTAAAAAATACTCCCAGATTAAAAGGGAGACTATATTCCTCAGAAAAACAAAATAAGAGGACTGTGTGAACTTGTTTTTGAAATGAGGGGACCAAAATTTAAAAAAAACAAGGTAAAATAGAGTGACTAAAGTTGCATTTAAGCCAATTAAATAATAACTTTTTTTTTATATATACAATTTCTTTATAATCTTTAAAACTACATCTAAACCTAAACTAAAATTAAACCTAAAAGGTAAATACAATCAATAAAAGAAACACATTTACGGAATCAATTTTTTTTAAAATATTTTTAATTAAAAGATAATAATAAAATAAAATAAAAATCAAATTATCATCATTCTAAAGGCAGAAAAGAACATATATATATATATATATATATATATATATATATATATAGATTAAAAATTGAAAACAGATGCAAATGCGTAAAAATGCAACTATACGAATGAAAATTAATTTGGATGTGAGCAATGCAATGAGAAATTTGAGGTAAGATTTAGGGTACAACAAGGTAAAAATTCTTAAGGGATCACTAACAGGTTATCATTGTTGTTGTCAGTCATCAGCGGATAGCCCATGCATTTGTTAGTCACGGTGGGTAGCCCCGTGCATTTATTGTTAGTCACCAGCGGGTAGCCCATGCAATTGTAATCAGTTTGTCTATAGTGGATTAAGTCCTTTTCTAAGGCGAAATCACCTAGTCGGGTGGACAGGATTAACATTTTCTATGGTGACCTGTATAAATCGAAAGTGTCATTATTTCTCTCTCTATATATTTTTTTTAATTCTGATTGTTTGTGGGAAGCACTTCTAAACGAAAAAGTTTTTTAAAACACAATTCAAACCCCTATTTCTTGTGTTTTTCTCAACCTTCATGGAATAGAAAGTGTCCTAGGGGTAAAAATATAAAATAGAAGAATAATGATCATTCTTGTATGATTGTAGTTTGCGAGAACGCGAAGAAAAGGCTAGAGCTCGGAGGAATTTGTTGTAGAACACGAAGAAGAAGGAATCGAAGTTGCTAAGAATTAAGGTAAGGGGGTGTAATCAGGTTTATTATGATTGATATTGGGTTAAGGTAGATGTATAATTTCAGTTCTCTTTGGATTAATGACGGGTGTTGATAATTGTAGAATGAAATGTTGTTTTGGTGATGATGTTGGGTGCAATTGATAATGATGAATTGTATGCTTATGTCAATGTAGATGAATATGATTAATTGTGAGAATTCATGTGTTTAATTATGTTTTGGTGAATTAGAATGTTGCTAATGAAGTATGCGATTAGGAATTGGAAATTAGAATCTGATTTGTGTATTGTGTATGAGTTATGGATGGTTAGGTGTAGAGAAAAATAGATTTTCGTACTTTGAAACAACAGAAAACTGCTTCTGTCGCAGTGGAAATCGATTACCCCCTATTGGGAAATCAATTTCTAGTTTGAAAATTGGGAAAAATGGCTTTTGGAGTGGAGGAAATCGATTTCTATCAGTTTTGATAGCATTTTTGTAAAACTTCAAAAATTTATAACTTAAGCTTCGGATTTTCGTTTGACGCGCCGTTTGAATTTGTGGAAAGCTAATACAGTGTACTTCCTTGAAAAAATAGTTTCAAGTTTCTGGATTTAAAATTAATTGGTGTGTAATGAGGTTATGTGGTGTCAGCGTATGATGTCGGTGTTTGTTGAAAAACTTTGAAAATTCATATCTTGAGTTGCGAGTGTCTGATTGACGCTTCGTTCGAATTGCTGGAAAGCTGATTTAGTGTACTTTAACTTAAAATTATTTTCTGGACCATAATTTTAACTATTTGACGCACTTACATGTATTTGGTGTGTGTTGAGTTTTGTTGTTCGGGGGAACTTGTGCAAATGCATTATAATTGTTTGCTATACTATGATGTTCTATTTTAGATAATGAATATGATGTTGATTATGTCGTTCTATTGTGATGATCTATTAATGATGTTGTTGTGACGTAAAATATATGAATTATGATGATGTTTCACTGATATGCATGTTGTAAATATATAATACATGATATGTGATGATTATGTGAATGATGATGCACTTGACTAGCCGTGGTCGAATTTTCATACGATATTGTTGTGCATTATGCATTCATAGCATTTTGGATGGTGGTTCTCTATTTTGAAACGTGTTCCGCTTATGACGAGTTTCAATCCCATTGTGTGGATTGTGTTCGTTTATGATGTTCTCTGATTCCAAGAGGGAATCAATCATATAATGGGGATCTTTGGAGGGTGATGACCAAGTGCTCATCAAAGATTTGGTATCACATGCATTTGAGTCAATTGTGCTGCATTAACATTCTATATGACATTGCATGAGTTTGTTGATGAGCTGTTATGTGATGGTAATTGTGATTTATGTGATTACATGATGTTTTTATGATAAAAGATGTACATGTGATTTTATGATGTATCCGTGAATATGAAGCATTGATGATTAGTATGTGCGATTATGTGATCATGTTGTTGTAACTACTAATCTTTTCCTTATGTCTTTTATAAGGAAATGCGATTACTCACCATTTCTGTTTGAATGTTGACTCCACGTAGGTAACACGCAGGTGACCAGGAGTAGTTCGTAGAAGCTGTGAGTATAACTTCAAAGTATTTTATTCAGTTTCAATTATTTAGAAAGTTTCTTGCTCTGATATGTAATACCGGGTTAGGAACGACTTGTTTTGCGAATATGATATTTCTTTTATGTTATGTTAACATGTTTCATGGAGATTTTGATTGTAGGTTTGATTTTAATAATTGATGAGGCTAATGTCATGAATTTTTGAGAAGTTAATTATGTTATATGAGAATGAATTCCGCTGCGATGTTTCTAAAATGATGTGATGATTTATAAACTGATGTATGTTTCAAAATGATGTAACCCGTGTTACGAAGCAGGATTTGTTGTTATGATGTTTCTATGAAGTGTGACACTATTGACTGATAATTTTATCTTGATTTATTTCATAAATTAAACGAATAATATGTGTGGGGTTAGAAGGGTATTACACTTCCCGTATGTCATGCCATGACTAGCCTTGGGGAGCAAATATTTCTGACCGGTAGCGTTGGAAATGAGTCGAGTCGAGTCGAACTCGCTTCAACTCGTTAAGAATTGGTTCAGCTAAAATGTCGATCGAGTTCGTCTCGAGCTTTTTTCTCAGCTCAAACTCGACTCGTTAGAAGTTCACGAACAACTCGGTTCAACTCGTTAGACTCATCTCATTAGGTTCAACTTGTTTGTGTCACAGACTTAAAAGTTATTTTTTAAAGTCTAGATTTTATATGTTTAACATTTTAAATTAAGATTTTTTTTAACATAAAAAATATAAAAATAAAATAAAATTTATAAGATTGAAATTCATAAAATGTTGATTTTATTTGTATAATTATTTTTAGAAATATTTTATTCATTTAAAAATATAAATTATCAATTACAACCGTTAGATTAAAAGAAAATATATGATTAAAATTTAGAGCAAATCTTTAAACCTACTTTTAAAGACAAAATAATATATCACATATATAATCAAGTTGATTCATGAATCTAACAAATCGAACTATATTTAGTTTAAATTCAGTTCATTTAATTAACGAATTTAGCTTTTAACTCATATTCAACTAATTTAATTCATTAATCTAATTCAACAATTTAATTATCAAACAAAATTCTAAGAAAGCACGTGCTTAATATAAGGTATGATTAAAATCATAATTTACTCTTTTATTTTTACTCACTTGTTAACTTGAGTGTGAATACGATTTCTCATTATATTTTTTGAATTTCATCTTCATAATCCTCTCACAACCTGAAATAGAAAAATAAAAAACGTGTAACTTGATTAAATAAAAAAAACAGCAAATATTTAGCCGAACGTTAAATCGATCTCTCTCTCTCTCTCTTGTATGTTTGTCTATGTCATTCTTACCTTAACATTTCATTCTTACATAAACCAAAACAAAACTCCATTCTCTCTCTCTTTTTCTCTCTCTACAAATTCAACCCATCTTCATCTTCATCTTCATCAACAATCCATCACACAAAAACTCCAAACACGACAACCTCAAACAAACACACAAAACCAAAAAAAAAAACATTTTTCATTTAAAAAATCCACTGTTGTTTCTTTCATTTTCTCTCTACACACTGTTTCTGAAACATTCATCATCGTCATCATTGAGATAATCAACTATGGAACCCGAAAGATCAAAACCACTCCACAACTTTTCATTACCACCCATGAAATGGGGAACACAACGTGTACTAAGATTTGTCAACACCGACCCTTTGCCTCTCAATCGCAATTCTCCCCAAACCGACCCTAATCACAAAAACCATGAAACCGTCGTTCGTGAAAGAATCATGGGTGATCTAACAGTCGCTGCAACAAAACTTAAAGTTTCTATTTTTGAAGAAAATGCTAATGCTGATGCTGATGCTTCTGCAATTAGGCCTTGGAATTTGAGAACAAGAAGAGCAGCGTGTAAAGCACCGCCACCACCTTCGCTGGCACCGCCACCGCCGCCTAGGGAGGAAGGAAGAAGGTTTTTTGATGTTGGGTCTTCTTCACCTTCTTCGCCTGTCATGATGATGAAGAAGAAGAAAATGGTTATGGTGGATGAAAAAGTTAAATTCTCTGTTTCTCTTTCTAAGGAAGAGGTTGAACAAGATTTCTGGGCTTTGGCTGGGACTAGACCACCCAGAAGGCCCAAGAAGAGGCCCAGAATTGTTCAGAGACAATTGAATGTTAGTTACTAACTATAACTTACTGTTTTCATTTTCAATTTTCAATATCAAATCTTTGTTTTTCTTGTGTTGGTGTTTTTTCCTAACATGAAATAATTGTTTTCTAATAGATGTTATCGAGTGCAATTTCGCGTAGCAGAATTTGAATCAATAGTTATTTTGTTATTGTTCTGCTATATACTAATATGTATAAAGTTTTGTCTAATTGCAATTACTAGCCTTATTGGACTAAGTATGTAGAATTTGAACAAACAATTAGTTATCTTCGACGATCCACGATTGATGATACTTCATGAAATGATTAAGAAGTGAGCATCATTGGTTTCATTTTATTGATTTGTTGGATTATATAGTACTAGTGGCATAGTGGAATTTGAACAAACATCTATTTTATGAGGTTTCATGATTGATAACATTGCGTGAAGTGATCATTATAGGTTTTGTTTTCAAGATTTGTTGGAATTTTTCATTTGTTTGTACTTGTTCATGTGAATTATGTTTCAGAAGTTGTGTTGTTAAGTTGTTTTTTGGACTTTTGTTTTGTAGACACTTCTTCCTGGGATGTGGCTATCAGAGGTGACTGCAGAGTCATACAAAGTTTCTGAAGTTCCCGAATGAGGTGAAGTTTGTAGATTGTGTTTTTCTCTTTCTATGCAATTGTGATTGTGAATTTGAATTGAGTCTATGATAGATTAGTGAATTTGTTGTTTCATTGACGCAAATTGATTTTGAACGAATTGACTTTGTATAATTGATTCTGCTTTAAAACAAGTTGAATGTAAAGTGATTTATGTTTGAAGATAACTGATCAGTGGTTATGCTTACAGGAGCTGAAATGAATGACAAAACTGAATTCTGGATGTTCCCAAATGTTTTTCTTGGTGACTTCCTTCAACATTGTCATATAAATAATGGTAATTTCCAAATCATCAATATGTAAATCAAAAGTTCAGCTTAATAATCATGAAATCTTGCATTTGGTTATTTGAATGTTGTAGCGCTCCGATATTCTATTGATAAACTTTCTTTATTTGAAATTATTCTATTCACCATCAAGTTGTTAGAGTCTTGTTCTTGATTTTTCATTGTTTTCTCTAACTTCTCAATTGTTTCTTTATTCCTATGTTGCTTACTCAAGAATCCGAGCACATTTTTTGTGTATTGTAGTAACTTGTGTGAACAATCAAGTTGTTGATCACGCAACAAATTTGTTGTCTTTTTAGCATAACTGAGAATAAATTGTGATAAATTTCATTGAGTTTTTTCTTCCTAGGCTTCACAAAAATCAATGATTGGTTGACTCTATTAGTTGCAATAAGTGGTCGGTTAAAGGTTGATAAAGTGTCGTATAAAAATTCTCGATTTTTGCCCCTAAATTTTGTTCAGAAGATACCTACAGTTATAGTGTTTCGACTCATGAACTTGCTGCTGTAATTTAGATCAGTTTGCATTGCCATAAAACAGTCTTTTCTGCTATTTTTATGACAGAAAAGAACAGCAAGAATATGTTTCTAGCTTTGACTGTGTTTGGACAAACAGCTTAATTAAGTGGTTATAAATGAACACTTAATTAAGTGCTTATAAATGATCTCAGCAAATACAGCAAAAACATTCCTTAATTGTATGGTTTATGAACTTATAAAATTGCGTCAATCAATTAAAGGATTTTCTTTCCATAAACAGGAATTTCATCAGTTTCCAGTTCAATGCTATTCAATCCTGTAAAGTTCGAGTTCAGCTTGGTTATTATGTTACTACTCATTAGAGTTTAGGCCTGCACCGCCCCGCCCTGCCCCGCCAAAGTCTGTCAAAAAACGGGCGGGGAAGAAATGGGCGTTGTACTCGGTCCGTTTTGTCACCCCAAGGTGCAATTTTATCTATTGTTGCATGTGATTAAGATTTATAAAATTCTGCTGTCATTTGCATATGATTAAGATTTATAATATACGGACCTGTTTTTGTTTGTTTCTAAAAATGAATTTAATTGAAATGCACCGACAGTGAATGGTAACCGTTAGATTTTAAATTAAGTTTGACTTTTATTTTAATTATTAATAAAGTAATATTTATGGATGATTGTGATGTACTGATGGTGTAAAACTTTTTACATTGACTGTGCATGACCATTAATCTCTTTAAAAATTATTTATCTATCATCGACTCTATAGATTAAAGATTAAATGCGTGTATGATGTCTGGTTCTTACACGACACTGACACATGTGATTACTCGAGCAGATTATAAGAACTTAATCCTCCCCTCTAAGATAAGTTCATTTATAGCACTACCAAAGATCATCCCCTCTAACACCTCATTTTATCATCACAATACCATGAAAAACAAAACAAAAACCTCAGCATAAATGATATTAGTGTACCAAGTTTTTCATGGAAGCCTAAGAGGAATATGCTGTCATGGTCTCTGCCAAGTTCTACAAACCGTCAATGATAAAATTGAAATCGGTGAATTTCTTTATGCACCCTTATGTCTTTTTAGGAGTTTCTGGCGAAATTTCTGTAATACCCCCTCTTAATTCGGACATGTATATTTCAATGAATTCTTATATTTCATTTTCAGGGGATTTTTGAATATGCATATCTAAAATAATCAAATATTTCATTTTTAGAGAGTTTTCGAATGTACATATCCGAAAAAATTCAATATTTCATTTTCAAGGGATTTTCGGATATGCATATCCGAATTAAACATACCATTTGAAATTGAAATTAAAATCTTTAATTATTATTAACTTCTTAAAATAATCATTTATTAAAATAACATAATAGAAATAAATTATAAATTACAATAGTAATTCCTATTTTAAAAAAAATATTTAGACTTTAAAATTTCTAAACAACTTTATTGTATTCTTTTAAAACTATCTCAAATTAAAACAGTAATTTTTTCAAAACAAAATAAAACAAAAGATATATCTTTTAATTTGAAAAAAGTTAAAGCATATATTAAGATTATTAATATGTCAAATGACTCATGGAGAAGTTAGAACAAATTCTTATCGTTTTTTTCGTATAATTTATACAAATAATTAGAGCAAGCTTATAATATAACTTTTATTTTTTATATTTTGATTTAAGTCTTAACTTAATTTAAAACTATAATTATTTCTTTCTAAATATAATAAAAGTAAATCTGAAATAAATAAGAGCAATAAAATTGTATGTATTTAAAATAAATATCATTTAAATTTAAAATGATTACAAATTAAATTTAAAATAAAATCAAAATAAAGTTGAAATATTGGATTATTTTGGATATACATATTCGAAAATCTCCTAAAAACGAAATATTAGATTATTTTGGATATGCATATATGAAAACTCTTTGAAAATGAAATATAGGGGTGACTCCGATTAGGGAGGTTGTTTTCCAGCATTTTCAGTCTCACTTTAGGGTGGTGGAAGGTAATAGAGCTAAGATTGATAATTTGCTGTTTAAAACTCTTAATGGAGAGGAATGGGTTGGTCTCATCAAGCCTTTCTCGATGGAGGAGATGAAAGAGACAGTGTGAGATTATGATAGTTATAAGAGTCCTGGTCCCGATAGTGTCAGCTTCAGGTTTATAAAAGAATTTTGGGATCTGTTGAAAGATGATTTATTGAGATTTTTTATGGAGTTTCATCGCAATGGTAAGCTCACTAAAGGTATTAATAGTACGTTTATTACTTCGATACCTAAAATAGCCATTCCTCCGCGAGTTGTGGGTTTTCGTCATATATCTTTAGTGGAATGTTTGTATAAAGTTCTTGCAAAGGTGTTGGCTAACCGTTTAAGAAAGGTTATATGAAGGCTGATTTCGGAGGCTCAATCCGCTTTTATAAGTGGTAGGCAAATCTTATATGGCATTCTTATAGCGAACGAGGTAGTGAATGAAGCTAGGAGGAACAAAAAGGAATTAATGTTATTCAAAGTGGATTTTAAGAAAGCTTATGATTCAGTGGATTGGAATTATTTATCTAGGGTGATGAAGAGAATGCATTTCTCGGCGTTGTGGGTGAAGTGGATCTATGAATGTGTTTCGACTATTACAGCGTCAACTTTAGTTAATGGAAGCCCAATTGATGAGTTTAGGTTGGAAAGAGGTTTACGACAGGGGAACTCTTTATCATCATTTCTTTTTTATGCTTGCGATTGAAAGTTTTGATGTTTTAATGAAAGCGCTGGTTCAGCGAGGGTTATTCTCTGGGTATAAAGTGGGCAATGGTGTTGGAGAGCCTGTTACGCATCTTCAATTTGCGGATGACACTCTGTTGATGGGGTTCATGAGTTGGGCTAATGTTAGAGTCTTAAAAGCGGTTTTGTTATTATTTGAATCCATTTCGGGTTTAAAAGTTAATTTTAACAAGATTATGTTGGTGGGAATTAATATTTCTAATTCTTGATTAAAAGACTTTTATGGTGTTAAATTATAAGATGAGAATTCTTTCGTTTGTGTATTTGGGGCTGCCCATCGGGGGTGATTCGCAGAGACTTAGTTTCTGAAATCCAGTGTTGGAAACTATTAAGAAGAGGTTATCTGGGTGAAAAAGTCGTAACCTTTCATTAAGTGGTCGGTTGATTTTGATAAAGTCTGTTCTGTCCTCTATTCTAGTTTACTTTCTTTCCTTCTTCAAGGCTCCCGCAAATATCATTTCTTCTCTTGAATCTTGGGTAAGGAGGACAAGAGGAAAATGGCATGGATTGGTTGAGATTCTATTTGTTTGAGTAAGGAGAGTGGATGTTTGGGTGTGAGAAGGTTGAGGGAGTTTAATGTGGCCTTATTAGGGAAGTGGTGTTGGAGAATGTTGGAGGAGAGGAGAAGCCTTTGATTTAGGGTGGTAGCTCAGCGTTATGGAGAGGCAGGAGGGCGGTTGAGGTATGAGAATGTTGAAGGGTGTGTGTGGTGGAAAATTGTAAATAGGATTAGACAAGGGGTTGGGATGGTTAATAGAGGATGGATGCTTAATAATATTGAGCGAGTGATTGGTAATTGGGTAAATTCATTTTTCTGGAAAGATCCTTGGTTGGGTAGAGGGACGTTGATGAATCGATTTAGTGGACTTTTTGAGTTAGCAGAGTATAAGGAGGTGTCAGTAGCAGAGATGCATTTCTTAGGGCGGGGGTGGATGGAGAGGCGTGGAGATGGTGTATGAGATTGTTTGCTTGGAGGGAAGAGAAGTTGGAGGAGTGTATTTTGTTATTGGATTATGTGAATTTGCAGGTTAATGTTGATGATTCGTAGGTGGGGAGACTTCATGCTTCAAAATATTACAATGTGAGCAGCGCATATCATTTCTTGACAAAGAGTTTGGAAGATCATCATGTTAGAGGCTATCAGGCTTGGTGGATGAAAGCGGTGTCATTGATGGTTAATCTTTTTGTGTGGCGGTTATTTCGTAATAGGCTTCCGACGAAAGACAATTTGGTTCGGCGACATATTATAAGTGCAGAAGAGCAAATGTGTCATTCGTTGTGTGGTATAAATGAGACGGGATCATATGTTTGTTCGTTGTGATTTTTATAGTAAATTCTGATTGTTAGTGTCTGGGTGGTTAGAGATTGAGTCGGTTTTTCAAGGGAATTGTAGGGATCATTACGACCAATTTGTGTCATTGGGTGGT